AAACATGCCTATGAGCAATGGAGCAAGGTTCATGGGGCACCAGCCCATGCTGATGCTTCCAACCACCTGCTCTGCGTCCTTCTCTGTTTTAAAATACCTTGTTACACAGGTAAGTTTCCAACTCTTTCATACATACTTATATATACATAGAAATAGTGTGTACACAGCTTTCCTAATTTGACATTTGCTGTCATATACTATCACACCAAATCCTGTATTCAAATTACAATGCTGCCCAGAACTGCATACGTTAACCCCACCCCATAAAAGAGCATTTGTGGTGCACAGGTGGCTTCATTCTAGGTTATAGGCTGATTCATGTGATGCATAAACAACATATCCATTAGGTGGAACTTTCACAGGAGAGTGTGGTGGTCATGCAATTTTTTTTTCTTCTTTCTTTCTTCCTTCTCTACCCTTAGTTCAGGTGTCCTGGAATAAAATCCAAATAGTGCAGAGGTCTATGATATATTGGTTGGTCCTATCAGTGAGTAGCACCAGCTGTCAGAAAAGAAAGACAAGGCCAGGTGTGGTGGTGCACCCCTGTAGTCCCAGCTACTCAGAAAGGTTGAGGCAGGAGGATTACTGGAGCCCAGGAGTTTGAGGCTGCAGTGAGCTATGATGGTGCCACTGCAGTCCAGCCTGGGAGACAGTGAGACTGAAAGAAGGAAGGAAGGAAGGAAGGAAGGGAGGGAGGGAGGGAGGGAAGGAGGGGAGGGAAGGGGAGGGGAGGGGAGGGGAGGGGAGGGGACATGACAGGATGGGAGGGGAGGGGAGGGGAGGGGAGGAGAGGGAGAAAGAGAGAGAAAGAAAGAGAAAAAGAAGGAAAACAAGGAAGAGAGTGAGAGAAAGAAGGAAGAAAAGAAAGAAAAAGAAAAAAGAAAGAAGAAAGAAAGGAAGGAAGAAAGAAAGCAAGCAAGCAAGCGAGCCAGCCCAACCTCCTTCCAAAAGGTAATGAGAATCTTGAGCACATATGGCCCTTAGCATGACCACAGGACCTGGAGAACCCCTGTTAGAGAACTCATTTTTATATTTTCCTTAATATAACAGTTAATAGTGTCATGTTTGTTAATTGTGTCTTTTTGTCATTTTACTTTATAAATGTACTTATATTGAAATATACGTACAGAAAAGTACATCTATTGTAAGTGTGCAAATTGATGAATTCTAATATCTCGAGTGCACCTGTTTAGCACCTGGATTGAGACACTGAACATAACAACCAGAAGTCCTTGCACACCTCCTGTTACTACCCCTGCTCCTGACCAATTCACTCTCCTCTAACAGCGTAACGGTGTGTGACTGATTTTTTTTAATTTAAAACAAAGAAATCATACAGCATGTATTCATTTGCATTTGGCTTCTGCCACCCAACATTATATTTGTGAGATTCATTGGTACAGTTGCATATTTGTTTGCAGATCCCTCACTCTTGTTTCTGTAGGGTATTATATTGCACAAATATACCGTATGGTATCACATGCATAAGTATGGGATTATATATATGGTATTATGTGCATAAATGGTATGCATATTGGCATCTGGCATGCTGTTATATTGCATGAATACCATACTTTATCCGTCATACTGTTGAACATTTGTGCAGTTTCCACTTGGGGGTGATTTCAAATAGTGCTGCTACCAATATTCTTGTAAATGTCTTTTGGTGAACACATGCAACACATATATGCATTGTTTTTGGTTCCCAGGAGTGGAATTCCTGGGTCATAAACAATGCAAGTGTTCAGGTTTAGTAGAGTATAATGCCGAACAGGTTTCCAAAGTGTTTGTGCCACTTTACATACCCATCATTATTGTAAAAGAGTTCTATTTGCTCCACAGTGTCCCCAGTGCTTGATATTTTCTACTTTTTTCTTTTTAGCCACACTACTGGGTGTTTAATGGTATAGCAATGGGATTTTAATTTGCATCTTTCTTGTGACAAATTAACCTTAATTTTATTACTATCAGGCATGTGGAAATGTGACTTAAATGCATATAAAGATACAGTCTTGAAAACGGATACAAGGTTACTTTCATACTTGGAAAGTTTACACAGAATAATTTCTATGTAAGCTTTTACAGTGTAGTCTGAGTCCATAAATTTTTTTGATTACAAAAAAACGCATCTGTAGGCGAGTTACAATACCTCACTTATAATTCCACATTCACATTATATTAGCTCAGTATTTTTCACATATATTTTTGCAGACTATTTTCACCTTCTTTTTGAGTGGTCTCAGGTATTTTGTCTGGATCCAGCACGGCAAGTTAGGCTGCCATTATTTGGATGCCCACATCCACATATCTGCACCGTGATGATATGACGCGCCCATACCTCCCACTTTGCATTTCGTCAGAAGTGCATAGCTATCACTGACAAACTCCACCAGTAGAAATTTTCTCCCAATTTCACATGGACTTATCTTGAATAATCTTTCAACTGAAGCATAACAGGTTTTGAATTCTGTTAGAATAGTTGTTTTTACTATCTTTTAATTTTATAAAAATTTCAAGGTTACTTAATACTTTCATTTAAAAAGTGAAACAAACCTTTTTCTCTCCCTTACCCACAGGATAACCCAGCAGAGGGGAAAAACATTGGCCCCAGGTCAAAATCATAAAAGCTTTTAATTAACTAATAATAATCGCTGGCATGTTGCCATTTAAATATCCTTGCCTCGTTATCGCTGGTTGCTTTATCAAACCCACAGGTCACTAAAGCCCACTTTTGAGACAAAGACTATTTCTCCCCCAAAAGTCAAGGGAAATATAGAAAATGAAGTTAGTGATTAAGGATGTAAGTTAATTAATACAATCATTTTGGCTTAATTATTTAAAGTCCAGTTTTTTTCCTCCAGTAAACCTGAAAATACACTATCCTCCAGCTATCAGAATTATATTGAGATTTATAATTTTTCACTGATGAATTTAGAGCTGTCATATACTCAAAGGAAAGAAATAGAAAAAAAGAATTCTGAAGGTAATCCACACAAAAATTGTCATGTGCTGACACATATACAACAATTTTCACATATACACACCTGGAACTTTTAAAAAAAGACAGCTGGGTACATATCCAAAGGATTACAAATCGTTCTACTATAAGGACACATGCATATGAATGTTCATTGCAGCACTGTTTACAATAGCAAAGACCTGGAACCAACCCAAATGCCCATCGATGATAGACTGGACAGGGAAAATGTGGCATGTATACACCATGGAATATTATGCAGCAATCAAAAACGATGAGTTTGTGTCCTTTGTAGGGACATGGATGAAACTGGAGACCATCATTCTCAGCAAACTGACACAACAGAAAATGAAATACCGCATGTTCTCACTCATAGGCAGGTGTTAAACAATGAGAACACATGGACACAGGGAGGGGAGCACTACACACTGGGGTCTGTTGGGGGGAATGGGGGAGGGACAGCGGTGGGGGGGGAGTTGGGGAGAGACAGCATGGGGAGAAATGCCAGATATAGGTGAAGGGGAGGAAGGCAGCAAATCACACTGCCACGTGTGTACCTATACAACTATCTTGCATGTTCTTCACATGTACCCTAAAACCTAAAATGCAATTTAAAAAAAGAAAAAAAAAGACAGCCTGTTTCATATTAATGTAATTTTTGTTTACAGCTAAGCAATCTTAATTCTTTCAGAGACATCATCACCTAATGAGTGATCTTTCTTAATTGTATAATTTGGATCACCATTTCAAAACCATTTTACCCATTTTAAGTGTACAATTCAGTGACATCAAGTATATTTGCAATGTTGTATGGCTGTCACCATCATCCATTTCTAGAACTTTTTCACCTTCCTAAACTCAAACGCTGTGCCTAGCAACAATAACTTTTCATTACCCACCCTCCCCTACCCGTGGCAACTAGCATTCTATTTTCTGACTCTATGAAAGTGAATTTGACTAACCTATGTACCACATGCCTGTGAAAAAATAAGAGTATTGGTCCTTTGGTGTCTGGCTTAATTCACTTGGCATAATGTCTTCAAGGTTCATCCATATTGCAGTATGGGTTAGAATTTCCTTTCCTTTTAAGGTGGAATAATTTTTCATTGTATAAATATACCGTGTTTTGTTTATCCATTCATCTATTACTAGACATTTGGGTTGCTTCCATGTTTTGGCTATTGTGAATAATGCTGCTATGAACGTGGGTATACAAATATCCGTTCAAGGCTATGCTTTCACTTCTTTTGGCTATATACCCAGAAATGGAATGGCTAGATTGTGTGGTAATTCCATGGCTAATTTTTTGAGGAACTGCCATACTATTTTTCTCAACAACGCCACTGTTTTACATTCCTATCAGCAATGCACAAGGCAAACATTAGATTTTAAACCCATTGACTCTGAATAGCTTTTATACAAATCCTATAACCTTCAAAACCTGCACTTATCTTTCTATTTTTCTGTATCTATCTATCTATCTATCTATCTATCTATCTATCTATCTATCTATCCATCCATCCTGTCTACTTAACTCTCCATTTCCAGACATACTTAGAATGAAAACTTTAATTTGCAATTGGTGAAAATATCCTGAATCAGGAGGCAGTTTTGATTGGTATATACCTAATTGGCTCCTCTCTTGCTGTGAGTCTCTTATTCTTTTAAGTATCCATGTATTCTAGAGAAAGTCCCCAAACACAACTGCCAAAAATGGCCCTCTATTTCTAAGTTACCCATTTCTGATAATCTAGTTGGATTATCCTGTTTTTCTTCCTCCTCCTCTCTTCTAATTAATTTTTTTTTAGTCTTTTAGTATTTTTGCCAACATCACTTCTAAGAATTTGTCCTCTGGCTTTCCTGGTACTCAGACCTTTTCACACCCTGGGAGGTAAGTTGCTTTCTGAGGACATTCCCGAAAGTGAGGAGCATTTGATCAGGATTTATTAGTTATAATTGTTGTGGCCAGTTGAAAGACAAGAGGTTTTTAAATACCTTGAATATCAGGGCTGAGAGACTTAATCATGTTTGGTTTGGAGAACTGACCATGTCACTTGGAGTGAGGAATAGGAGGTAGAAGAAGTGGGTTAGCGCAGGGGTTCATTCTCATTGGAGGACGTGGCTCTCTACAATGGCGCACTTATGTTTATTTGAACTGATGCTGATGGAGGAGTCTTCCCTAGCTTCCCCCATGCCTTCTGGCAGGTTCCTCTTCCAAATAAGGCTGTGGCAGAAACTGGGAGTTGGAGTCAGACCTGATGTGATGTCCTGTCCTCACTGCCAGCCCCTCCTGAGCCTCCTGCACTGGATCCCCTTCCCCACAACTTCTCAATGTTGGACGGCCCTGGAACCCTGTCCTAAGACCACTTCTCTGGTCCAGCTGACCTCATTTCCCAGGTGAGTTCTACCAGTCCCATGTATTAAATAAACCTGTAGGCTAATAACTCCCAAATGTAAGTCTCTTGTCTTTTTTTTTCTGGCTCTGAATTTGTTGATTCTACTGCCTACACACTATCCCAAGTCGGATGCCTGAGAAGAATGGTAGTCAACGTATCTAAAAGCAAACTTTTGACTTTTTCTACCTAAGTAAATCTTCATCTTTTCCCCTCTTTCCAGCTCAGTAAATGGCTCTACCATTTATCTAGTAGCTCAGGCCAAAATTCTTATTGTCATCTTGGACTCCTTTTTTTTTTTTTAACTGCTATGTTTAATTCAATCTGCGAGTCCTGTCATTTTTACCTTCAAAATACACCCTAAAGCCTCTACCATTTCTCACCTCCTTCACTGCTGACAACCTTCCCATGTCACTATCAGACCTTTCCTGGATTTTTGCCCTGGTCCCATCAGTGGTTGCAGGGCTTCCTCACTGGGCCCTCTGAGTCTCATCTCCACAGGGGTCCCAGAATTTGAGAATATTAATCCAATCAAATCACCCCTGTTCTCATCCCTTTAAGGGCTTCTCATTTTATTCCCAGAAAAAATACCTGAAGTCTACGTCATGACCTGTGGATCTGTTCCTGGCAGCCACTCCTGTCTCAGCTCCTAATATCCCTTGTCCCTGTCCCTCTACTGTATCCACACTGGACCTCTGGATGTTCCTCACACACACCCAGCATTTGCACCCTACATTCCTGAAATGTGCTTTCCCCTAAGCCTGGAACACTCTTTTCAGTTTTCACGTGCCTCATTCCCTCACTTTATTTGGGGCTCTGCTCATATGCCACTCTTTCTGAGAGGTCATCTCTTACTCCTTGTGTCAAATCTCACCCTCCTGACAATATAGTAGGTTGTACCAAATGAAAAAATTGCCATTTAAGGCAGGGCACAGTGGCTCACATCTGTAATCCCAACAATTTTGGAGGCTGAGGAAGGTAGATCACCTGAGGTCAGGAGTTTGAGACCAGCCTGACCAATATGGTAAAACCCGTCTCTACTAAAAATACAAAAATTAGCCGGGCATGGTGGCAGGCACCTATAATCCCAGCAACTTGGGAGGCTGAGGCAGGAGAATTGTTTGAACCCAGGAAATGGAGGTAGCAGTGAGCTGTGATCACGCAATTGCACTACAGCCTGGGTGATGAGTGAAACTCCATCGCAAAAAAAAAAAAAGGTAAAAAGAAATTGGCATTTGAAAAAAAATAAAGATGAGGTCTCCCTATGTTGCCCAGACTGGTCTTGAACTCCTGGGCTTAAGCAATCCTCCCACCTCAGTCTCCTGAAGTGCTGGGATTACAGGCATGTGCTAGGGCGCCCAGCCTGAAATTGCCAAGGACCTTGAAGGCAGCAGCTTGTGTTGTTCATGTCTAGAGTTCCTGGAACAAAGAGGCATTCACAGATTATCTGCTGTAAATGTCTTCCATGTATTGTCCAGCCCTTTGACAAATTAAGCTCATTAAATTGCTCTCTGCTAGTCACACTGGTGTTTTTGAAGCCAAACTCTTTTACTTCTTATCAAGGTTGATACTCTTGTGTCCTCAGGATTTCATTTTGGGGATCCTCCCATTCATCCCTCTTATTCTGTTTTCTCTTTCAGATTGTTTGATTATGGGATCAAGCTGCAATTTCCTCTGACCTTCTGAGAACTATGTACCCATTTAGAACCCACATCAGAGCTTTTCCAGAATGGTTTTCCTTGGGCATTTTAATCCCCCTCTGAAAGACACTCTGACTCACTGGCTGCTGAGACTCCAGTACTTCTGCTTCAATAACCGGTTCTTCCCGGTAGGTCAGAATTAAATCCAGGAGAGAAGTTCCTTTTGTTTCTTCCTTTTCGTTCTGCAAAATAATTAATAAGAAAAGGTTAAAAATCTATGTTCTGCTTTTAGAGAAATTAGATTTCCAGCAGAAATGCAGAGAGCTAAGTTCCCATTACATCTATGACTCACAAATATGTCAATTTTGTGATTTTTTAAAATGTGCGCCCCATGTTTATTCCAGTGCCAAGACATGGAATCAAGTCAAGTATTCATCAACAGATGAATGGATAAAAGAGAATGTGGTATATATACAAAATGGAATGCTATTCAGCCATAAAGAAAGAATGGAATCCTGTCATTCATAAAACATGGATGAAACTGGAGGACGTTATGTTAAGTGAAATAAGCCAGGCACAGAAAGTTTAACACCTCATGTTCTTATTCTTATGTAGAAATTTTAAAAAGTTTACTCAGATATAAAAAGCAGAACAGAGGTTACTAGAGGCTGGCAGGGGTAGGGGAAAGGTAAGGATAAGGAGAGATTTGTTAAAGGACACAAATTAGATAGAAGGACACAGCTAGATAGAAGGAACAAATTCTAGTGTTTTATAGCATTGCAAGATGACTATAGTTAACAATGTATTACATACTCTTTTTGTCTTTTGAAATGGAGTCTTGTGCTATTGCACAGGCTGGAGTGCAGTGGTGTGATCTTGGCTCACTGCAACCTCTGCCACCCGGGTTCAAGCAATTCTCCTGCCTCACCCTCCAGAGCAGCTGAGATTACATGTGCATGCTACCACGCCTGTTTAATTATTGTATTTTTAGTAGAAATGAGGTTTCAGCATCTTGGCCAGGCTGGTCTTGAACTCCTGACCTCTTGATCCATCCACCTTGGCCTCCCAAAGTGCTGGGATTACAGGTGCAAACCACTGCGCCCTGCTATATATTTTCAAATAGCTAGAAGAGAGGGTATTGAATACTCCCAAGAGAAAGAAGTGATAAATGTTTGAGATGATGGATATGTCTTGATCTGATCACTACACATTGTATGTATCAGAACACCAGTATATACCCATAAATAGTATAATTATTATGTATCAATTAAAAATAATTTTTAAAAAATCAGTATTATGCCATCAGTTCTAAAAACAGGAAAAAAATTATCCATAATTTCCCTTTCACTGTAGCTCAATTTCTGTCATTTTTGTGTTTTTTACATAAACGCATAATTTTGCAGTCGAAAATAGTATAGTATACAATTTTGTGTCTTGTTTTCTTCACTTATCATCACAAGGTTTTCTTTATGTTACCACATGGGATCCTAACTGCACAGTGGCTGCAGAGTATTCTGTCAAGTGGTTGGACCCTATTTTGATAAACCATTCCCCTAAAATTATTGTTTCTAGTTTTTGATCACTATAGCGCTCCTTTATACATTTGGCTTTTTTTCTGACTTTGGATTATTTTATCAGGATAAAGTCCCAGACCTGTGATTCTTTCTTTTTCTTTTCTTTTTGATGGAGTCTTGCTCTATCACCCAAGCTGGAGTTCAGTGGCACTATCTCAGCTCACTGCAACCTCCACCTCCCAGGTTTAAGCAATTCTCCTGCCTCAGCCTCCTGAGTAACTGGTACTACAGGCACATGCCACTCCACCCAGCTAATTATTTTTTTGCATTTTTAATAGAGAGGGGGTTTTACCATGTTGGCCAGGCTGATCTCGATCTCCTGACCTCGTGAACCACCCACCTTGGCCTCCCAAAGTGCTGGGGTTACAGACATGAGCCATGGCGCCTGGCCCAGACCTGAGATTATTGAGCTCGAGGGTAGAAACATAGAGCAGACAGGGCTCCTAACAGTGGGTGCATGCTGCTTCCCACAGACTGAACCCTATGACTACTGCAGCAGCATTCACAATAGCCAAGATACACAATCAACCACAGCATCCATCAACAGATGAATAGGTAAGACAATGTGGTGCATAGATGCAACGGGGTACTCTTCAGCAATAACAAAGAATGAAGCTCTGTCATTTGTGGCAGCACAGGTGGAGCTGGAGGACTCTGTGTTCAGTGGAATAACACAATGATGGTGACCAGAAGTGAACCCAGCCTCATTCTCTTCACGGCTCCTTCCCTGACATGCTGGCTTCACCTGCCTCACTTCTGTTCTCAGCAGTTCACAGGGCAGTCCAGGTGAGCAGTTTTTGACTCTGTCCTATCCTGAAGTGACCACAGGGACAGTGCCTGGTATCTGCCATGAACCATTGAGGGGCAATGAAGCAGCGGTCAGGGCAGAGGTAGAACCGCACATTCATGAGGGCCGTGGCCCACAGCAGCCGGCCGCTGGGGCACCTCTTGGCAGGTGAGATTTCTCCTGCTGTCCTGGGGCTTCTGTTCCATGTTGATCTCTTCTGTAATTTCCTTCCAGGTACCTTCTCCCAGCTAAGGTCTCTAACCAAGTACCTGGTCATCTATTCTCTGGTTGGCTCCCAGAGACTGGTATGGAAGCATCCTAGGATTCTGCAACAGTTTCCCACACAGACTCCCACTTCCTCCTCTTTTCCAATCCACTCTCCACACAGCAAACAGAATTAATTGTTCTTCTGCCCCACAGCCCATAACCATGCCAGTCCTGCACCCACCTGCCGCTCCATGCCTGCATGTATTCTCTGTGATCTTTTTAGGAATATGTTAATCAGAGCTCCATCTTCCTTGGCTGATTGCTATTATACTGTCATGTCAGTTCTTTCCAAGCCATTTGACAGGGGATAGACCGTTCAGTCACCAACATGACAATGCTTAGGGTTTTCCCCAAGGAGTGCACACAAAGAACATAACTCGATTTCCTAATTATACTTGATTTAAAGTGTTGTTTGAGTGCCAGGCTGCAAATGGGAAAGGGGTAGGAATTAAGGGCCTGGATTTGTAGTCAGACATACTCATTTTTTAATCCTCTTGCTCCTGTATTAGAAAAACAGAAATCAAGTCAGTAACTCCACAGAAAAGAACTTAATAGAGGGACTTGGTTAAACTGTATCAAAACCAAAAAGGGGACAGTGGGCCACCATAGAGACTGTAACTCCAGGAAGCAGCTACTGCCACTAGGGCCAGGGGAACAAAGAGAAGAGGATGAAATTACTAGAACCTAGAGGCTTGGAGTAGAAACCCTTTGTAGCTGGGACCTGGATTTCTGGGGAGTAGGTGCTGGTGGACTGGTGCTAGTATTTCTAAAGAGTTCATTCTGGGAGGGTAGAAAATGACTGCTGATTGGCTAAAGGAAATGTGGTACACATACATCATGGAATATGAGGCAGTCTTAAAAAATAATGAGATCAAGTCTTTTGCAGGAATATGGATGGAGATGGGGGCCATTATCCTTAGGAAACCAAGGCAGTAATAGAAAACCAAATACCACATCTTCTCCCTTATAAGCAGGAGCTAAATGATGAGCACTTACGGACACAATGAAGAACAACAGATGCCGGGGCTTCCTTGAGGGTGGAAGGTGGGAGGATGGAGAAGGGCAGATAAAGGAACTATTGCGTACTTGGCTTAGTACCTGAGTAATGAAATAATCTGTACAGCAAGCCCTGTGACACAAGTGTGCCTAGGTAACAAACCTGCACATGTACCCTTGAACATAAATGTTTAAAAAGAAAGAAAGAAAACGGCTGTGGCTGAGGTGAAAAGCCATTATTGAGATGCTGCTGACAGAAACAGGAGGCAAGTAGGAGGGAGCAAGTCTCCTCTCTCCCATCCAGCCTCAGTGTCCTGGCATGTCAACAAAGCACAGCCAGCTGACCACGCAGAAATGTAGTCTGCAGAATCCCCACCTCGGCATCACAGAGCAGAGTATAAAAGGGCGGGTTTGAAACAGAAAGAAAACAGCTTAACAACCAGTACAATGACTTTAGGTAGATTTCACAGCCTCTGTAAGCTTCAATTCCTATACCTGTATGACGGGAGAAATACCTCCTCTCACGGTTATTGTAAGGATTAAGTGAGATAACGGATACAGATTGCTCAATAAGAACATTGAAAGTAGCTGCAGATCTATCCCCGATACCCCATCTTTAGCCTCAACATGGCAGCCAGAGGGGGACAAGGATAAGGAAAAAGATGGAAAGTGGAGAGAATAAAGAAGATGAAAGCAAGTAGGAGAAGGAGGAGGGAAGAATGGAAAGAATGCAAGAGGTACTTGGAACCACCATCAGAGAAAAGGGCAAAAGCCCTGTGGACCGGTCCCTTGTCTCTTTGGGAAGGCTTTTCCCACTTTGAACGAATTACATGCTCCAGGTGCCTTAAATGACTCCCAGGGGTGGTTGTGATTTCTGCAAAATCAAGAGAACTAATAAGAGTAGCTAGAGGTATGTGATCATCTTCTAAAAAGCTGAAAGCTCAGTGGTTTGGCAAAAGAGGACAGCAGGAGGTCTTAATGAGTTAGACCACAAATTAATCTTGCCTTGTTTCTCCTTTAACTGTTTCTTTCCCCTGTGTCTTTCTTTGGCTGATTCTAGCAGCTGTTCAACTGTGTAATTAAGTCTCTTCTAAGAGAGCTGAGAAGCTGGGTCAGTACTGCATGTTCCAGTGATCATTGGCTACCAAGTTAAAGGTTGAATTGATATTTCGAGCAGTTATCAAACTTACACTGCCCCATTTTCATGGAAACTGGCAACTGGAAATGCTACTGGTATTCAGAACACTACTGCCATCAACAATTCCAAGGAGGGATAAAATCCAGAGCTAGCCTGATGCCTCCAACGGTATTTATTAAGCTCTTGAGTTGGTGCAAAAGTAATTGCGGTTTTGGACCGTGAAATTTAAATCATTGTAACTAGACTCAAACAAATCTTTATTAATCAAAATAGAAACCATTACAATCAACATGTTTGCTAATGGGAAATCAGCTTGTTTATGTCTGTAGCATTAGCATTAAAATGTGTGCTTTGGGATTAGACAAACTCTTGGAAAGCATTTTCTGCATCCTGCTGGTTGTGGAAGCGTTTTCCCTGCAAAACGTTGTCAAGATGCTTGAAGAATTGGTGGCTGGTTGGCAAAGAGATCAGGTGAATATAGTGCATGAGGCAAAACTGCACAGCGCAATTCTTTCAACCTTTGAAGCGTTCGTTGTATGATGTGCAGTCGGGCGTTGTCGTGGAAAAGAATTGAGCCCTTTCTGTTCACCAATGTTGGCTGCAGGCATTGCAGGTTTTGGTACATCTCATCAATTTACTTTTTTTTTTTTTTTCCAGAAAGCTGTAGTGGATCAGAGTGGCAGCAGACCACCAGTCAGTGACCATGACCTTTTTCTGATGCAGGTTTGGCTTTGGGAAGTGCTTTGGAGCTTCTTCTCAGTCCAACCATTGAGCTAGTCATCACTGGCTGTCATGTAAAATCCACTTTTCATTGCATGTCAGAAATCCAACGGACAAATGGTTTGTTGTTGTGACTAAGAGAAGATGATATTCAAAAATGATGATTTTAAAGAAAATTTTGCTCAGCTCATGGGGCACGCACTTACTGAACTTTTTCACCTTTGTAATTTGCTTCGAATGCCGAGTGACCATAGAATGGTCATTGCGTTCTTTGGCAACTTCTCATGTAGTTCTAAGAGGATCAGCTTCAATGGCTGTTCTCGATTGGTCGTTGTTAGCTTCCAATGGCCAGCCCCTATGCTGTCATCTTCAAAGCTCTCCTCTCCTTTGCAGAACTTCCTGAACCACTACGGCACTGTCTATTCGTTAGCAGTTCCTGGGCCAAATGTGTTGTTGATGCTGCAAGTTGTCTCTGCTGCTTTATGACCAATTTTGAACTTGAGAAAGAGAACTGCTCAGATCTGCTGTTTGTCTAACAGTATTTCCATAGTCCAAGTTAAATATATAATAAACAGCAACTAATAAGTCATTAGGAAAAAACATAATGCAAGAAATGCACATTGAAATGATGTATAACATAACCACATTTATTTTAAGAATGTATTCCAATATCAAATGGCAAATTTCAACAGTGCAAAAACCACAATTACATTTGCACCAACTGAATAGCTAGAAATGAGAAAAACAGGATAAAATATAATCTAAGAAATTGAAAATGTTACTGTTCACTCTATTTCACCTGGTCAGGAAGAATCCTCACATCCCACTTGGAGGTGTGTCCCTTTGCTTTTATCCTTATTTCCTTCCTGGAGATTGTATATAAGTTCCTTATAATGAAAAAGAGTCACATTCTGAAAGTGTAAATTGAAATGTGCTGGCTACATAAACTTATCAAATTAGTTTTCCTGGTGGAAAAAATCTTAATTAAAAGGTTGCTTTGAAATAAGGAAATGTAATAAAACTTTTTCATTTTGTTTGCCTTCACACCAGCCACATCCACTTTTATGATCTAATTTTTATTTTTCTTATTTAATGGATGACATTAGATTTGTCTTCCCAGCAGGTTCATTTTCAAAAAGTTAATGAAGTCAAGCTAAGCATATGTGGTAGATCATTAGGTCTTCTGCTTACAAACACCAATATCCCATAGTCTTGGATTCCACTTTCTCTTTCAGGACACAATGGGATTTTTCAGAAAAATGAATTCCTCTTTTTAAATACAGAGGACAAAGCCATATCCTCTGATTTCATATATTATGAAACCACTTGGGAACTATCAGAATTACAGAGGAAACAGCACCCTGTCCATCTTCTCCAAATGAGTAAATTTGCCATGAGATCAGTTTTTTGTGGCTTTACATAATAAAGAGTTGAACAAAAGTAAGATTTGATCTTTGAGAATCAAAACTTGAGAATTTTTAAATTGGTGTGTAGCAACTTAGTCTTATTAGGGATCAGCATTTTAAATATTAGTTGAAGTCTGGTAAAACTTAACTTCGTATAAAATCTCTCTCTTTGTTTAAAGGTGAGGCCCAACCCTTCTTTCCTCACGTGAGGCTACTTATGGAAAGAACATGGGATCTCGGGTCTAAAGGCCTTGGTTTGTGAGTCTGCTCTTTCCAGCCAAGATCAATTAACAGGAATGAGATTTAAAATTCCTACCTGAAACAACCACAAAACTCAGGGGAAAAAAATGAAAGAATGTTTTTTAAAACATGGAAAATAGGAAACAAAGAGATGGTAAAAACTGCAGTGAGCCTTACAATATATATAGAGTCAGTGCGATGCTAAGTAAAATCTCAGAAATTTTAAAATACAAATTGACAAGCTGATTTAAAATTTGTATGGAAATGCAAAGGACCAAGAATAGTCAAAACAACTCTGAAAAAGAACAGCAGAGTTGGAGGGCTTCTCTACCTGATTTCGAGATTTCTTACTATAACGCTGTAGTAATCAGTATGGAATTGGCTTAAAAATAAACAAATAGATCGATAGAACAGACG